TTCAGAAAAATTAAAAAATAAAACTCAGGTTATAATATAAAATAACCTAATTAGAAACATCAAATGGCCAACAAGATAATAAGGAACCTCCTGGCCAAAATCTGCAGGAAAGCAAGAACCTCAGATGTAAGCAAGCACAAGGGGCTTCTGTCCTGACAGAGGCAGATCTGCACTGATTTTGACAACCTCACAGGGGACATGAAAGAGACAACAAAGCCTCGAACATACCCACATAGGGAGAATAAAAAGGTTTTTGTCTACAGTAAGCTGAGGTTCCTAAGAGTCACCCCTTAAAAATAAGAATGAGCTGGAATTAACTCACTTCCCACTCCAAGAGACTGCAGGGACAGCTGCCTTGACACTGAAAGGGTACATAAGGGGTGGGCTGGGGGCTAGGTGGTCCATGAGAACTTGCCTGCACAAGTTGGTCCCTGTGTGTCAAAGTGCAACTCAAATTCTCATCACCTGGGTGGTCTAAAAAACTTTAAGTGGTACATTTAGGTTAAAGGGGGCTTCCCAGGTGGCTCAGTGGGTAAAGAATCTGCCTGCATTGTAGGAGGTACAGGGGATGTGGATTTGATCCCCAGAGTTGGGAAGATCCCCTGGAGAAGAGCAGGGCAACCCACTCCAGTATTCTTTTCTGGAGAATCCCAAAAGTGATGCCAGACTAGTAGTGCCACCAGGCATCTGGCAGAAACAAAAGTAACTCCTCTGGGGTGGGGTGGGGAGGTAATTCATTCTAAGCTTCAAGAATCCCTACAGGCAAGTTTTCAGTGGTAATTAATGATGGATTTCCAGGCAAAAATGAGCCAGCACATGAGAGCAGACAGATATGAGGGCTGGGAGAAATCTAATGAAAACAGAGATGTCCAAAACCAAATTCATCCACTAAGCAATTCCGGAGCCTAATATGGAAAATCTATTTATTGAGCACCTACTCTGTGCCAGGCTGTACGTAGGATTGCTGAGATACATGCCATTTCACTTGTCATGAGCAAAGCATCCAAGTGATGAAAGGTTAGTTGAAATGGCATTATATGTATGTTTATTTACTTTCACTTTCTGTGTTTTCTGAAGACTTCCAAACACAAAGACAGTGCCCATTATTATTTAGTGACAGGTTTTGAAATAAACAGTAATCATCTAAGGCCAAGATTGACATCACTGATTCCTTTCTCAGACTCTCATTCCCTCACGTTTCCATGTTTGAGTTCAGTCTAAGTACCGCCTAGGCAAACCAGAATAACCACGCACATTAATAGGAAGACAAAGGGCCGAAAGATAAAGATAACTATCTCAGAGATATAAAACTCATAGTTAGCTAAATTTATCTTTAACAGCAAAAGTCCAAAGAGATGATCGTGGAATAATAGCATGAATTGGACAACATTAATTTTAAAATAAATCTGGAAATAGCTGAAGGTGCAGGAAGGGTGGAGAGAAGTTAGTCTGGTATTTACTTATATATATAGATTGCCTTTCTTGGCCAAGGTTGTTGACAAAATCTTGCTGATTATTTGGGTTTCTCTGGTAAGTCTGCACTAATTATCGACCTTTATCTTCTATTGAGCATTTGACAATTAGAATTCAAATCATCACCTCTCTACTTCTGTATTTGTTTACTTTCATTAGATATTCTGATGGTTGTCATTTACTGAGCCTTTGGAGTGGTCTGACCTGTGCTTTCTTCTCCTTGCTGGGCAAACCAAGACAGTATGGTACAATAAAAAATAGTAACAGTAGCGACTGCATATGAGTATAGGCCTGAGCGAGACAGTGTTTAGGAGCTGTTTACTCCTCACAACAACTGTAAGGGGCAAGTCATTATGGATGAGAAAATTTATGGGCCAGAGAAATAGAGGGACTAAAAGGAGCAGTAGCGCCAAAGTTGGACAACCTGGAATTTAGTTCCCCAACAAGGGATCGAACATGTGCCCCTTGCAATGGAAGCATGGAGTCTTAACCACTGGACCACTGTTGAAGCCCCTGGAAAAACTCGAATTTAAATCCTAAACTGCTGCTGGTATTTCTTCCCTCCTAGAGGTGAGGCTCCATTTTCTGGGTAAAGGCTGCTGTAAGGATGAGGCCAAGGGCCTGGCCTCTGGGAAGCACTTGTTTCTCCTTCCTTCCAGTTGGAAATTCATATCTTGCCTTACACAGCTTCTTCAAATAGTTTTAAAAGTAGCCACTTCCAGGAAAATAATGTGATATTGTACAGAATCTTTAAAATAATAAAAGGTGAATAATGGCTTACATTTATGGGGAGGTTTAACTTTTCAAAAGCTCTTCACTCCCTCCCAAACACTGGCTTCCCTTTGGGAAATACTTTAATATCTCAGTTGACTTTCTCAGAATTTTCAGATTGATTGTCTCCAGGACATAATAACATTGTCTGTGGACCTTGAAAAATGCTAATCCAGGAAATGATGCAAGAAGAAAGGTCCAGGCCTTTGCGTCTCTTTCCATCTTCTGGCTGCTGTCTGCCTCCTTCCTTCTCCTGGGATCCATGTGTGTGTCAAGGGGATCAGAAGTAGCCAAGTTTGGAGGGAAGTCAAGGGTAGCGGGGAGGGCTGTCAAGGGTAGCGGGGAGGGCTGTGACACCTAGCTGTCTTTGGTTTCCATGGTAAGGATGCCTAACACAGCAGGAATGTACTACCTTCCCTCATAACAGAACTTTCCTTTTTTATTTTTTTCAAGCTTCTGAGAAAATCATCTTACATTCTCACATTTAAACCAGAACTACTTACTCTTCTTAGAGTGGTCTGAACTGAAAGGCTATATTCATCCAGAGAGTGAGGCAAAACACAAAAACAAAAACAAACATCCTGGGACAATGTGTTCACCCTAGTAGACTGTCTGGCACAGAGTAGGGGCTCAACAAATATTTAGAGTAACTGCAGTCACTGGGGTGTAAACTGACATTCTCAGTTGACAATACAGAAAATAAGGTAATGATTTCTGTGAGTTTCTGAAAAAGATCAGTACAGATTCACTTCCAAGAAAGCTTCTTAGATCAGCAAGACTCATTTTTCAAATAATTGATTAGTTCAGAGGTTGCACATGTGGGTAGATTTTGTTTTGGCCTGCAAAGTTTCAAAACACAGTTTGAGTTAACATTTAAAGCTTGAGAAATTTCAGATGCATTTACAGCTGCCTCGCTTTACCCAATAGTATCTATCTGGTGCTTTGGGGGACTTGTACTGGTCCCCTGGATTATAACTGTGTCAGCTATATAAAAGTTCCCAAGTCGTGCTAGCTGTTTCAGGTGTTAATTTAATCCTATGCAGAACACATACACACCTCAAATTAAAAAAAAAAACAGAGGGTTCTAAATGCGTAAATACAAAAACCAAATCCTTTGGTCCTCAAGTTTCTCACTCTGTGCATTTGCCATGATTCGTGTGTAAAGCCCCTGTTTTCAAGCCTTTCACTTCATAGGCTCTTGCTGACTGGAGGCAAGAAAGGGAGAGACCACCTGCCCCTTCATTACTAATGCTTGAGAAAGCAATCTCATTGGGAAGGAATTCTTGATGCTAGCCGGGAGGTAAGAACTGAAACCTCACTGCTATAAAAGGCTACCAAGTGCCTCAGCAGCTTGTGGCTTAGAAGACACCATTTAGAATGTTACAGAAATTAATACAATTAAATAGGAATAAAACACAAGTGATTTGCACGGAAGTGTTTTCAGATATAATACCAAGAGTCTCCCCACTTTAAAATTGATCCTATAAAGGGCAACAGAATCCTGACCATTCTCCCTTCTCAAATAGATGCTTCCTTCCTCTTGGACCTTCCTGAGGGCTCAGTGTGGCCCCTGAAACCACAGAGCCCTATCCCCTTCCCCTTGCTGCTCAAGCCCACACTCCTAGCCCCTGTGTGATGCCTCCACTCCCCTTCCCCAATTTATGTTTTTTCATCTCTCCTGCCACAAAAACACCTCAACACTATTATTACATAATAGTAATAAAATACTTATTGACCATCTACTATGTGCCAAGTACAAATCTGTTTGAGAGAGGTCAGCCCCTTCCCTGACCTCCATAATCATCTGAGGCTTTCAGTCTGGTAGTTAAAAAAGATGAGCGTTCAAGCCATCAGACGGCTGGCTTGCACACCAGCCCTGGTGTAGCCCCAATGCTGTCTCTACAAGGCTCTTTCCAACTCCCAAAGAGTCTGTGATCATCGCTGCTATTTTTAAGGATGCAGAATTTACGGGAGCCCCTGTCACTAAGTCGGAATGGAACTTTTCAAAAACCTTCTATTTCCTACCATGGGGATGGCCCGGATTCATTGTGGATAAAATTGAACCTCCTCAAAACAGTCGGCTCATTTCACTCCACCAAGCTGAGGAGCCCCCCGCGACCCCCACCCCATGTCTGAACTTAGGGTGACATCCGATCCCAGCAAGGAGCTAGATCCTGCCAGTGTAGAAAGGCAATTTCCCTCCCTCGTCTAGATAGTCGTAGTTTTCCCTTTATGAACGTCTGTCACTTAAGTCCACTCCAAGGAGGTTCCGTGGACAAAACGCCAATGACTGTCCCTGACGTGTCGCCAGCGACCAGACCTGGCAAGACCGGGGTCCCCTAGACCCTGCCACCCCGCACCCCACCCCCCACCCCCCACCCCCACCACTTGGACCCGTGCGGAGTTCATTCAAAAGAAAAGACGGGTCCAGAAAAAGTTCTCGGGGGAAGAAAGGAATTTCCCACCTCTGGATCTTTCTCTGGATGGGGACCCACGCCTCCGGCTCTGGAGGTCTAGCCCGGCCGTGACGACCCCACCGGGCGCAGGTTCCCCGCGACGCGGGACGGGGAGGGACCGCCCCGCGAGGGCTGCCCAGGGAATCCCGGCTGAGCCTCGCCCTCCTGCTTCCCTCCACCCCTTCCTCCTCCCCGCGCCCCAGCCTCCGCGCCCGGGCTGCTCGCCCCCTCCCGGGGAGGATGGGCTCCGAGCGTCCGGGGCCGAGAGCGAAGGAGGAAGGCAGGCGACTGGCAGCCTACCGTCTTCTGCTTCTTGACCTCGGACATGCTGGCTGGCTACGGCGGTGCCCGGCGCGCTGGAACTCGGAGCCCAGCCCCTGGAGCGGAGGCGCTAGGACGCTCGGGTGGCGGCGGCGGCGGCGGCGGCGGCGGCGGCTGCCGGACTCCGGGGAAGGAGGTATAAAAAGGCTCCACAGACACGTCGCACTTCCCTTGACCAGCCCCCTCCTCCTCCTCCTCCTCCTCCCGCCGCGCTCCTCTCCGCCCCGTCGGCTCGGCCAGCAGCGCCCAGCCCAGGGTACCCTGCCGCCGCCTGGGCGGGGTCCCGGGCCCGGCCCCCGACTCCCGGGAGCGGCTCCGCTGGGCCCGCCGAGGTTGGAGGCAGGACCTTGCAGCCGAAGGCGCGGACGGACACGCCCCGCGCGCAGCCGGAGGTCAAGTTCGCTTCTCCCAGTTCCCATTGCCAGCGGGTGCCTGAGCGTCCCCTCACCTCTCACCCCACCCGTGCGCCTCGTAGGGAAGGCTTCCTGCCTCTGGGACCTGCTTGAAACCGTCAAGATGGTCGGCAGGGCCCTCCGTGGGCACCGCTGCCCCAGCTCGTCTTCATGGGCAGTAATCACAGCGAGGGTTAACGTTTTCTGGGCCTCACTCTGCGCTCCGCTGACCTTTGCCTTAAGCCTCCTGCTCCCCTCGCCCCAGGCATCGAATCCTGCCTTCTCCCGTGAAGCAGTGGAGGCTTTCAGACTTTCTCAAGATGATATTCCAAGTGAGGGGACTCACGCTCAGGCCCAGGTCGGCCTCCACTGTTGAGTCTTTCTGCACCAGCATCATCATGGATGATGCTGATGAAGAAATGCCGATGGGCAAGGCCGGCCTGTACCTTCTGCGCCAGGCCTGGGACTAAGGGGTCTAATGCATTCACTCCTTTGGAGCCCACAATATTTTCCTCTTGCTACAGAAGGGCCAACTGAAGCACTGCTCCTATTCACCAAGTTGAGTAAGCAAGCCCAATGCCTGAAAATGGTCAATGGTAGCCCAGCGACTTGTTTCAATCCATGTTCCAAACCTTTTCTATAGTACTTCCCTGTGGTCAGCAACCAGGATGGGCCCTGAGGAGGAAAAGGAAGAGGAGGCCCAGTTGGCTTATGAACTGTATGTCTGGGACAATCAAAAGGAAGGAAGGAGAAGCTATGGTTAGGGACAACACCTTGAGGGCAGCCCCAAGGCTTCATACCCTTTTGTGCCTTAAATTCTGTGCACCATGTGACCAACAGATCAATGGCACTGAAGGGATGAAGCACCATGAAGATGTGCAAGGGCCACACTGCCCATTCCAACTTTGTCTTTCTTCTGTGAAAAGGTTGACGTGATAGCCTGAGGAGGTGAGGACTGGAACTGTGCTTTCATATCCAGTCGTAGTTCTGGAAGACTGCCAGCTTTCCAGACAGACGCTGAAGATCTGAGTATTCATTCATTGACTTCTCCATGGGGAAGTGGGAAAATAAATCAGGAGTCAGAAACCTAAATGGGAGCTCATATGTTTGTTCAGTCTTGAAATATCAGTATATTTATTTTCTTACTCATTTAGAGTAAGTTGCCACCACTCCCTTCAACTGTGAGCAACTGGAGGGCAAATGCCGGCTTTGAGTTTCTGTTCTGCACACGAACTAGCATGTTTTGATTTTATGGGGTTTAAACTGTAACATCTCATTCTAATTTTATTGAAAAAATCCTTTGGTATCAGTTCCAACCATATTTTGAACCCTGCCAGAACCTGCCCTAAGAGAAAACTAAGTTTGGATAGAGAAATAGCAATTTTCATGTTTGGTTTATCTCGTATTGCATCTTTAAAAGCTGCAACAGCTCTTCAGTGGTGGTCCAGTGGTTAAGAATCCATCTGCCAATGCAGGGGACACGGGTTCGATCCATGGTCTGGGAAGATTCCATGTGCCGAGGGGCAACTAAGCCTGTGCATCATGACTGCTGAGCCCACTCTCTAGAGCCTGTGTTCTGCAACAAGAGCTGCCATGCATTGAGAAGCCCTGGCACCACAACTAGGGAATAACTCCTGTTCGCTACAACTAGAGAAAGTCTGCGCAGCAGTGAAGACCCAGCGCAGCCAAGAAATAAATAATTTTTTTTAAAGCTGCAACAGAAGGAAGTCAAGTGTAACTGTAAGGGTAACTTCCTGGAAAAGGAACATATGATTGTTTAGACCTGGAGGAGGTTTTGAGATCATTTGTCGAGTTTCCCTCACCATATATTTCACAGATGGGTCATGTGGTGCTGAGAGAGGAAAGGTAAACTGACTGGTCACTTTTAGGGGCAATGCTCAGTCTCAAACCCAAGTCAGTTGGCTCACCAGATGTAGTGAATCACTCAGCCTCTAGGTCAATTCTTTCAAATCTCCCATGATAATTGTAAACTGGACCATTTTATCTTGTTTTAGATTTATTTAATTCTCAAACAGAGTACTTTGGAACAGATATTCTTTCATTGCTTCCAAAGACTTGTGGAAATAGGATGTCTCAGCTCCCTTGGACCCAAATTGGTTAGGATCCTTTAACTTCATAGATCATCAGTATAGTTGTAATTCAGTCTGGCAGCCCATTGAAAAGTAAAATAATCATTCTCTTTTATTTTTCCAAGGTGTTTCTTTTAATGGTGGTGTTTGGAATTCTTTTTCATCTTACTATGCTCTTTCTTCTGGGAGAGGACACTCCTTTGCAAAGATATGAGCCACTAGCACTTAAGTTTTGAAATCTGTGACTCTAGCACGTCAGAACTGGTGAAGACTCATTCAGATAAGGAAGGCAGGGTTGAGACCTGTCTAGTCATCTGGACACACTCTCCGTAACTTTCTCAGTAGTGTTGCTTTTCAGACTCCACTGTAAGACACTGTGGCCTGCCTGCTACCAACTTACAATCCTTGATGTTAGTCACAACATTTGCATGAGGGTATTAAGCTTTTCTTCCTATTTTCTTTTTTCCCCTTCCAGGAATTGGCTTGGCTTTAATAACTACCTTAATGAGGTAGTGATTACTACTTGGGCTTTTCATTGTTTAGAAAAAATGGAGTCAACTTCCCCAAGTAAACAAGGGAAACACAGATATAAAGTGAGATGTTTATGCCACAGATTCTCCAATACATTTTAGGGAAGCTCATCACATTTTTGGGGATCTAGCTTGGAGGCATCTTCCCTGGGTTGGCCGTTCCAAAGGAATACAGCTGCACTGCCGCCTGGTGGCTGTAATGCATAAAAGAGACCTAATTGTTGAACCCTCCCTGGTGGATCAGATGGTAAAAGAATCTGCCTGCAGGAAACCCGTGTTCCATCCCTGGGTCGGGAAGATCCCCTGGAGAAGGAAATGGCAACCCACTCCAGTATTCTTGCCTGGAGAATTCCATGGACAGAGGAGCCTGGTATGCAGCATACCACGGGGTCATCAAGAGCTGGGCACAGCTGAACACACACAAACACCTGTACAATAAGTATAGCAGTCCCCTTGGGTCAAGAAATCCTTACAGAAATTTCTCTAGGATTCAAATATTCTTCCCAGTCTTAGGCACAGATAATACAAGACAAGCAAGACATGGGCCCTGTCTTCAAGAAACAATCAGAGGGAGACAGTCCCTGCCTCCCAGCTCCACCCCAATACACTGCAATAGACTACTGCATAGTAACGTGCTAAGTCACTTCAGTCATGTCTGACTCTTTGGGACCCCATGGACTGTAGCCCTCCAGGTTCCTCTGTCCATGGGATTCTCCAGGCAAGAATACTAGAGTGGGTTGCCCTGCCTTCCTCCAGGGAATCTTCCTGACCCAGAACTTGATCCCGCGTTTCTTAACATCTCCTGCCTTGGCAGGTGGGTTCTTTACCACTAGTGCCCCCTGGGAAGCCCACAATATATTACTGGGACAGGTAAAGATGATACATGGGTAACTTAGAGATTTTATTTTAACTTAAAAACACTTGCACTTCACTAATCTTTGAGGTAGGGATAAAGTCTTCTCTTGTGGCATGGGTACACTGATGGGAATTCCAAAAACCACTCTCCAAAGGCATCTTCAACAATTTCCAGTTTGGGATTTTCAGTTCAGTTCAGTTCAGTCGCTCAGTCGTGCGTGTCCGACTCTGCAACCCCATGAATCGCAGCACGCCAGGCCTCCCTGTCCATCACCAACTCCAGGACTTTACTGAAACCCTTGTCCATTGAGTCGGTGATGCCATCCAGCCATCTCATCCTCTGTCATCCCCTTCTCCTCCTGCCCCCAATCCTTCCCAGAATCAGGGTCTTTTCCAATGAGTCAACTCTTCGCATGAGGTGGCCAAAGTACTGGAGTTTCAGTTTCAGCATCAGTCCTTCCAATGAACACCCAGGACTGATCTCCTTCAAGATGGACTAGTTGGATCTCCTCACAGTCCAAGGGACTCTCAAGAGTCTTCTCCAACACCACAGTTCAAAAGCATCAATTTTTCGGCATTCAGCTTTCTTCACAGTCTAACTCTCACATCCATACATGACCACTGGAAAATCCATAGCCTTGACCAGATGGACCTTTGTTGGCAAAGTAATGTCTCTGCCTTTTAATATGCTATCTAGGTTGGTCATAACTTTCCTTCCAAGGAGTAAGTGTCTTTTAATTTCATGGCTGCACTCACCATCTTCAGTGATTTTGGAGCCTAAAAAAATAAAGTCTGACACTGTTTCCACTGTTTCCCCATCTATTTCCCATGAAGTGATGGGACCAGATGCCATGATCTTGGGATTTTATAGAGTTAAATATTAAGGGAGGAAACAATTTGAGAGAAGATTTCTTCAAGATTTCTATATACTCCTCCCCCATCTTTATCTGTTCTCTTGCCTATCCCTAATCCAGCAGTACACATTTTTAGCAGCTTGTCTTTCCAAAGCATCCATCTGTTCTCATGGAAAACACAACTCTTTTTTTCCCACTCATATACTATTCACTTAAGTCACATCTAAGCAAATTTCTTAGTTACACTAACAGGTACAAGAGGCATAAATGAGTTTGGGAAAGAAG